CGGATGAGAAAGGCGTACGGTGGCATGCAAGTTCTGAACGTGGACGAACTGACAGAAACGATTGGCGTATTTGGATTTTAATTTCATCTATACATGATAAAGCTCCAAGCGTTCAATACCTAACACTATTTCACCACACATATTTTTTAACTTGCATCCCAGTACAGTCGACAAAGACGTAGTTCTATGTGTCATTACTATAGCAGTGTAGTCCGTTAACAGTGGGTGAAAAGAAGAATAAAAAGAAGTTTGTATAAAGGTTCGTTTGATTTATCCTTTGGTTTGTTTTCCGTCGATCTTGTTTTCCGTGCTGAGCACCAATGCTACCGACGCCAAGGAGGCAGCTCCCACACCTGGACCCTACCTATCGACCCATCAAACTCATGAACCGGGGACCAACGGCTTTACTTCCCTTCCGAAGGAAGACGTGATCAGAGATGTTGCGCCTCAGAACATCCCGGCGGCGCCAACTGGGATTGAACCCAGGCCTGCTGGGGTGAGAGGTAATCACGCTTACCACTACACCACCGGCGGCCCTAATGGTGGGAGTCGTTAAAACCCATGGATTACGGAAATGGGTATCAAACCCTGTTTAGCGCCCCCTCGGTGGTTATGCTCTAATGCTTCTTCGAGAGCGTGCACTGAAAAAAGTTTTCACTTAGTTACTATTAGGAACGCACATAATATTTTTCCAATAACAAAAATAATGATTGTTATCTGAATATCACATAGCATAAGAAATTCTATATGCTAAATCATATAGATTTCATGTGAAATTCCCATGGATATTTTCCGCTGGTTATGTGATTTATTTTAGGAGTGTGGTTTAAAGGCTTGGATTTAAGTAGTGACTTCATTCGCGTGATGAGTACACGAAACGAAAATCAATTATTTTATTTATGTATTTCACTTATACATTTTTGCCAAAACATCAGCCTTATACATTCCATAAGACAAACCACATAGGTCCTATAAGATTGCATAAAAGGTATTTGTGACCGCTTATACATTTCATTTGAAACATGTTCTTCATTAGCTTTTTGCAAGGCGTCTGCTAATTAGTTGACTTATACATTTTATGAATAATCAGCAATATAAATTTGCCAAAAGATATAAGGAGATTTCTATCTGTGTAGACTTATGTCCAACCACTACTCGTTAGATGCGCATCTCCATAGAATAAACCTCGTGTACAGCAACATCTGTCAGTGTGGAAACCGTTATGATGACGTCGAACACGCAGTTTGGCAATGTACGTATAATGACTTTGAATACTTTCGAGACCCAAGGAAGACAACCCTATGTTCCTATCAGAGACGTGTTGGGAACTCGTGATATCCGCTATATGCAGTCGATTTATGTGTTTCTTCAAATGTCTAGTATAAGAATTTAATTCCTCTGTCTTTTGTCTCTCTTTAATAGTTTTTGTTTGTTCCGTTCCCCCCGTTTCGGCTACCCTACCCCGGAGTTTAACAGACTCTGTGAAGTCTTGAACAATGTCCTGAAAATATTTAAGAGTCTATGAAGCTTTAGAGAGCCTCTTCATGGACATCAAGAAATGCAACTTTTTGCCATGATACATCGAAACGTTTTCGGAATTTGTGAACTATGACTATGACTATCACAGTGATTCGAAAGGATGACGTAGCTCAAGTCTATTTTCCACGATCCAACATTTTCACGAAACAGATTGGGATTCAAGAAATACAGGATGGCTCATTCTACCCTATCATTCGCATCCAAGAAACAACTCGAGGAGGAATTACAGAAGGCTCACATCAATCACATTCCAACTATCTGGCGGAAATGTTGGGTACGGTAAGTCCGTTAATAAGTTAATAAATTACAGTGCGTTACTGAACTCCTGATGATTGTAATAAATGCATATTACAAAAATCCCTAGCCCAGCAGACCAATCAACTAGTGAAAAACAATCGAATGGAGAAGTCCCAGATGTTTGTTGCACAAACTCAGCGTTGCCAACAGGCAACAATCAATCGAAGCAGGATTCTGTACTGTTAGAGGAAGGAAACAGCTACCGCAGTATGTATGTGCAACAATTAGAATCGGATGAACTAGAGAACATATCGTATGTTAGAGGTGCAGTAACGCCTGAAAGGGACTGTATGAACATTCCTACAATCAACGTATGCGCCACCGAATCGAGAAAAGATGCCATTGATCTAAAGCGCAGTGAACGATACATTGATATGTGTGGCCTTCAGGAAACCAGAATGTCTTGGGGAGCAACCACGACCCGCAACTATCAATGGCATTTGAGCCCGATTGAGAGTAAAACTAGTCATCGAGCGAGGCATCGGTATTAGCAATGGGCGATCTTGGATCGAAACACAAAAGATCGATTTTTTGGTTCGATTAATCGATTCTTTGAATCGATCTCAAACACGACAAAAATCGATTGGATCGATCCTTTTTAATCGATTTTTGTTTCAATCCAAAAAAAATTTCAGTTCATTTGCATTTGCAATTTAATATTGATTTTTTTTGTCTTCAGCTTTGCACATCACTTGCCTTGAACATGGATTCTGCAAACAAGCAATGTGACAGTTCAGTTGAATCATTCACTTCTTATGATATATTTCAGGTTCATCAGTCCTCTGCTATGTCAGAACTGAATTGCCATGGGGACATATCGGCAGAATTACAAAATTTCTTGCATCAGCCTGTTTTCCCACGTTCAGTCGATCCTTTTCAAGCATGGGAGAAAATCCGTAGTGAATATCCCCATGTATATCCCATTGCTCGAGACTGTTTATCAAGAATGGTAACAAGTGTTCCGTCAGAGAGGCAATTCTCTAAAACTGGTGAAACCACACAGAATCGATATCGGCTCAATGCAAAACGCATGGCTCAATTAGCTTTCTTGGGATCCCTCTCGGATGAGTTTTGGGATATCTGAATTAAGTACTTTGCGTACTTATCTGCTTTTAAACTCCGACCATCTAATCGTTTTGTGTCATATGTTAATCTTTCGTTTTTTTAATCGTTTATTTAATACCTCTAATCTAATATTATAGTCTGTTAAATCACTCACCTAATCAATTATCCTGAGCAAAAACTTCCAGATGTCAAATGAAATCAAAATAGTAATTTACTATGTTCTCATCATGTACAGGGGTTACTCAAAATAACTAGGATAGGCAAATTTTTGGTCAACTTTGGAGTGTTGTAACTTCGTCAAATATGATCCGATTTTAAATCTTCCAAGAGCATTTGACTGGAAAACTAATATTGTTTTAAGGTGTAGCCACGAACATAATCCTGGTCACCGGATACCGGAGATATTCCGGGTTTCCGGAGGGCTTCCGCCCAAAACTTGGTCATAATCTTTAGCAGTGATCTTTCTTTTCATGGCAACGATTGGTCCAACTGAGTGCCTCATCCGTGCTTTACAATCGCTAGCGAGCACAGAAGTGCTGGCGAACATCTCCAGAGCTGACTTCGACAGTCATTTTGTTCATTAAAGAGTTGTTGTTGTGCTCTTGCTACACCTTACATCAATAGAAGAGAGAGAGATTTTTATTGGTCTACAACCAGAGTTGAAAGGCCTAACCTCCCCATCCACTGCTAGTAGTCAATGCTCCATTTCAAGACTTCAGATTGTTCGAGCTGTCTAACGGCATTGTGAAGTGAAAATACAATTTTCCTTTTACATGTTATCCTGGGGCATCTACTGGTTCCAGAATGAGCTCCCCAATGGCATTGTTTTGTGCAAAAATGTGATTGCAGCCTACTACAGGTTCCCCCCGGGGGATTCCAGACACTCCGGAAAGACCAATGTGGTCAATGTTTCACTTTAAGTTTATAGAAAGGATATTCATGAAAATCCTTGCAGAAAGAGCAGTCGCACGGCACGTTTTTGAGGCGCACTGGTCACCATAGCTGGTCGAACTCCAGACGAAACTAGAACCGCGTTGATGAGACAACGAAACCTCACCCCAAGCTCCTCCCCTGATCCTATCCTTCGACAATGTACCTCTCTAACCGAGAGTAAGCCGCGAGTATTCGGCCCAACTCCTACTAGACAAAGAATTAAGTGAATTTTGTTGAACAATGAACAATGAATTATCAGCTCCGTAAAGCTAACGCAATTGCGCTTTCCATGTAAACGAACTAGATAAAAAAGAAGACAGATGGTTCGCTTTAAAGCAAAAATGTCCTCGTCAGTTAATGTTACCCTTGGAGTTCCACAATGATCACATTTAGCTTCTTTATTATTTATTTTATTTGTACATGACGTGAAGTTTGTGTTAAATCGCCTAAATGTGCTCATGTATGCTGGCGATATGAAACTGTACATGGAAATCTTTAACAATTCTGATTTGCTACATTTTCATGATGAAACTGACAGCGGCACCGGTGGTGTAGTGGTAATCGTGATTATCTCTCACCCCAGCAGGCCTGGGTTCAATCCCAGTCGGCGCCGCCGGGATGTTCTTGAGGCATAACATCTCTGATCACGCCTTCCTTCGGAAGGGAAGTAAACCGTTGGTCCCCGGTTCATGAGTTGATGAATCGTTAGGAAAACAAGATCGACGGAAAACAAGTCAAGGAAAAAAAAAACAAGATGAAATTGATGTTTTCTACAATTGTATTATATGTTATATGTTATTCCAGAAAACACACTACTCTAGATTTTACATGTAGGAAATCAGCTGGTTGTAAGTTGCGATAAAATTAGGGAAATATTTTAATTAAATTATAGCCAAATAGAAGGTATTTTTATTAATAACTACTGAGTTAATTAATTATTCTTAAAAAATATAGCAGTTTTAATGCTTCCGACAGACTCACTTAATCAAGTCCAAAAGTATACCGATAAACTGGGATCAATTAAAAGTAGAAATTTCAAGAATTTCGATGAACGCCCAGAAAAATTACACCTCTTTGATTTGTTTTTTTGGAGAGAAAATATAATATGCTAATAGTGGCCAGGGTTAACAGTGATATAGTAATACGGAAAAAAAACAAGAACATGCTGAAATAATACATCTTTATTTAAGTTGAAGCAAAAATTTTCATTGTATCTATTGAATAAAACCATAAATTCCTGATCTCAGTCCATTGTCTAAAAATAAACACCACAGATATGATACAAACGACCGTTGTCAAAACACGCACCCTGTAACGAAAATAAGATAAAATTTATGATGTGCAGCAAGGATAACTAACAAAAATCTATGGTTATTGAACTATCTGTATGTCTTTATGATCTTCTCGTATATCTATACATTTTTAAGTGAAAAGGGACGAGCAGTACAGGGTCCGAAAGTGAGTTTAGTTTTTTAAGAGTCTGTGTGTAACAATTCTGCACAACAGAAATTAATCAGTTCCAAATCAGGTCTTTAATATTCTTTAAAAATTGGAGCTCATCTGGATGCAGTCACTGCACAGGCTCTTTGAAGATTAAACATAAAGTAATTATATACAAGTAATAGGGTTAAGATCTGTCATACTAAGCAAAACTCGCACTTAACCTCTCTCTTACGATCGGGTTTGAACGAATAATGGAATGTTTCAATCAAAGATAATTTCTTAATTTATTTTCCTTTACCTGGCCAATGAAACACAAATATCAAGATTACAGCGCTTGCAGAATAAAATAATGCGTTTGATTTTGAGATGTAATAGATTCACTTCCTCAACTTTTATGCTAGATGCCTCACAATGGTTTTCGGTGAAGCAAAGAATTGTATAGTTGATTATAGTGTTCATTTTCAAGTAGTTAACGATTTGCTACCTCGATATTTGTGTGATAGAATTGAAAGAGGAAGTTACTTTCATAGATATTATTCTAGTATTGAAATAAGAACACCAAATGTCTTGACTTGTGCTTCACAAAATTCATGATATTTTAAAGGAATAAATGTTTTCAATTTGATGCCTAGACATATCAAACGTTCGCAACACTTACATAATTTAAGAGGGAAAATACAAGTAAAAATTTATTTTTATCAATTTTTTATATTTTACTTTAAAAATTAAAAAAAAATGCTACGAGCACGAGAAAAGAGTGATCTATGGCCCAGGTTTCGCCGATTAACCGTAAGTTCCAGAAATCATGTTTTTACACAACCCAAAACTTTAAACGCGTTTTTCTCGAAACGGTGTTTTCCAAATTGGCGGGAAAGAATGTGAACCACTGATATCATGAAAAAATTAACAATAAATAATTTTCATGTTTGCCTAAAGTGGAAAAAAAAACAGTGAAAAATCAATATTTTTTTTTTCTAAATTTTTAAATGGTTTTTTATGGGTTTTAGAGGTTCACATAGAACAAAAATCTTTTCTGAATAAGGTCCAATTGATAAAAGTAAGTTTTGTCCATTTTTCAGGGCTCTAGAACGCCCGCCAATTACCAATCCCCACCGGAGGCGACCTCCTTCCGATATGACCCCAAGGAGCCACAAATGTCACAAACCAATGAAAAAAATCTCAAATGTAAGCAATTTAATGCAAAAAACCTCAAACGCTCACAAAAAAAAAATCCGAAAATCGTCGAGTTTTTGACGTGTTACTTATATTTCCCATGTAATGTGTCTAAGTAGGCATCCCTAAATTTCATACCAAAAACAAACATCCAACCGTTCAGGCAGCAGAGTCAATGTATCACCTCAAAACTGCAACCATGAAATTTCGAGTGCCTTTTGTATTTTGTACCTGTCGTCCCAAATGACGAGCTGCCCGGGCGCACCTAATAATCGATATTACTGATTAAGCAATATAAACTTCAATTGTCGCTCCAGTTGTCTCCCTTATGCAAAACTAAACCAAAATTACCAAATTGAAAGCTCAGTCTATCACATAGTCTGGCTCAACTGGTCTTCTCCGGTTTGAGTATCAGACACTCTAAAAAGTACCTACCGTGTTTTCATTTCGACTCTAGTCGAAATCGAATTGAGAAAAGTCCACGGTACGCGTGTAAATGCCGCGCAGGAATGGCACCGTCGCGAAACGGAACGCGAAGTGCAGGAAATAAATCCACACCCCCCTTAAAAGACACTGCATTTCACACATTAAACCTGTGTTGTGAACACGTATCCAGTGATTTTTTTATGAATTGACAAATTATGTATCTTGACGACATTATCTCTAACGGATTATTTTGTATGGATAGCTGTCATAATGACTTTTTAATAATTATTGTAAGCGGCATCGGTGATGTAGTGGTAAGCGTGGCCTGGGTTCAATCCCAGTCGGCGTCGCCGGGATGTTCTGAGACATAACATTTCTGATCACGGGAAGGAAGGGAAGTAAAGCCGTTGGTCTCCGGTTCATGAGTTGATGGGTCGATATGTAGGGTCCTGGTGTCGGAGCTGCCTCCCTGGCGTCAGTACATTGATGCTCAGCACGGAAAGCAAGATCGACGGAAAACAAATCAAGGAAAAAAAATATTGTAGCACTGCAAAAACTTCGGCACGATGGTTCGCGTCCGTTTGAGAGTGGATTGCTTCCACAAGTTGTACTCCGACACAGGCAGCATGGTATTTTTTGTTACAAAATTCGCACTTCCATAGAAAGCGGTCGTCGTTGATGCTGCATGATATTACACCGCACGGCATAACTATGTTGTAAATATTCGACGCGATACTATAAGGGACAAATGGCCAGCGAGACCCACACGCGTCGTTGTCTAAGTGTAAAAAAAAACATTTATATATATACAAATTACTTGCGGACCAAAATGCAAATGCGTCCGCGCCCGAAGACAGCTCGTGGCGAAAAAAAATGGAAGATGCTCTCCACAATTCCAGAAAACGTGAACATGGGAGCATGTTCTTGCTGATTTTTCAGCTGTTTTTCTGGCTGAAAAATGGGATATCTGGGGTTTTAGATATTCCCAGAAGTGGTGGAATTTACTACATTTAAATTCCGGTGGTGGGGGGTTTCGGTACATTTCCACTACCTCTTAAATTTGTCAAGGTAGGTTGAGAGTCCATACGAGAAGTCTTACGAGGATTTTTAGTGTTTTTTTAAACCGCTTTCTCGTGTCACCTTTAAAGACAAAGGGACTACCGTCACCAGCCTCTGAGTCAGAGCCCTGATCATCATCTGGCAAAATGGAGTATGTGTTTTTGCTTTTTGAGGTGGTTTGGGAAGATGAAGTAGTGTTTTTTAAGAGTTCTGCAAGTGACCTCTTGGAGCGAGCTTGCAAAGACCGTTTAAGTTTTTCTCCCTGCTGTTTGTACTTCGGACAATCAACCAAAGCATGCAGAGTATCCTTGCAGTAAACACATTTTGGGGTAGACCGGCAAAGACCATCTGCATGCAGTTCGCCACATTGATCGCAGCTCGGTTTGTTTGAGCAGAAGTCAGCGGTGTGACCAAGTTGCTTGCATTTTGAGCAGTTCACCCGCGGTATAAACAAGCGTACAGGCAGTCGAACCTTCCCAATTACGACTTAGTCAGGTAGCGCCGATCCTGAAAAGGTCACACGGAACGAGTCTGACAGAGAATACGTTTTTTTTTTTCGTGCCAATGAGAGACACTGATTGCATTTGGATGCAATCCAGAATCTTCACTTTCGGAAGGACACGGTTTTTAAAAATACCGAAGGATTCGACATGAAGGAAATCTTCGCAAGTTAGTTCGCTTCGGTGACCACTCCTTCGATTTCTACATCGCAACTGGGGATGTAGACTCGATATTCCATCGTAAAAAGCTCATAGGCAACAATCCGGTTTGCCTGCTTCGGGTCAAACTTGCCAAACTGTCGAAAAAGTTATAGAATCAAGAATTTTACTCTTTTCAGCGAACGTGAAAAAGGGGAATGATAAGGTTAGATATAACAGTAATAATATCTAAAATTAGTTGTTGAAGGTCATGGAACAGGGTCGATAGGTACTGCCAATCACATACATCTCTATCTCTTTATCCCACCTTTTAAATATTATCACTATTACTTTGACTATCCCCTATATTCAATAACTTTCCTTACTATCATCTGACCCCTGTGATTATTGTGGAATAATTCTATGATGTCAAATCTATATCTCTGATTTTTTTACTGGATACCCTATGACCCCATTATGTGCTTGAAAACGAAAACGAAGTCAAGAAAAATAGTTATTTATTGACTATAACTTTTTGAATCTATAATCAACTATTTTGCACTACATGGTTACCACAAAATAATCAATAATGACTATAAAGCATGCAAATAGAGGGAAAACGGAACTACCCATTAAATGAGTAAATTTCACCCATTAATGGGTAGCTGTTAGTTACAAATAGGGGGGATAGAATTAATAGATATTTTTGGTCGCTATTGAAAATTTAATCGCTGGCTGAATTTATGTATGGGCCCAAATTAGGAGCATTTAGGCCGACATTACATTTATTTCCCCTATGTTGGGATTCATAAAAAGATTTAATTATCATTTTAAAAACCCATATACCATCAAAACACTTTATACAGCTTACATGAGATCAATTCTCGAATATTGCAGTGTGGCTCAATACCTTGAAACTTATATAAATCGTATAGAATCAGTTCAAAAACAGTTCTTGTTATTTGCTCTTAGGAAACTAGGCTGGACCCCTTTTCTCCTTTCTTCTTATGAGTCCCGTTGCAATTCTTAAAAAGAACATCACTTGTCTTTTAGATCAATCAAAACTTTTTGAATAGGTTGTCATAGAGACCCTAAATGCGCATTGCAAGCAATATCTAAGTATAGATCAACACGGATTCATAACTAGGCGTTCCACAACTACGAACCTGCTGTGTCTAACGTCTTACATCACAGAAAGTTTGATTGCTCGGACCCAAACGGACGTTATTTACACAGATCTCACGACAGCCTTCGATAAACTGAACCACGAAATTGCGATCGCTAAGCTTGATAGGCTAGGTATCGGTGGAAATCTTTTGAGATGGTTTCGTTCTTACCTCACGGAGCGCCAACTGACAGTAACTTTGAGTACTTGTCGCTCAGCAAGCTTCTGCGTAAAGTCCGGTATACTTCAGGGTAGCCATCTGGGACCATTGTTATTTCTCCTTTACTTCGACGATGTTCACCATGTTATCACAGGGCCACGATTATCGTTTGCAGACGATCTGAAAGTTTTTCTGCGCATCCGCTCACTCGCCGACTGCCGTTCTCTCCAAGATCAGATTGACATCTTTGCTGACTGGTGTAGTCTAAACCGACTGGTGGTCAACCCAGCTAAGTGTACAATCGTTACTTTCTCACGCAAGAAACAGTCGATTATTTTCAATTACAAACTACTATGCACGATTATCGAACGGGTGCATTGCGGGAAAGACTCAGGCGTTTTTCTGGACTCAAAGCTGACATGTATTGTATGTCGTCGACAAAGCGTCCAGAACTCTTGGCTTTGTCTTCAAGATTACTAAGAACTTCGCGAGAACTCTTACGATCTACGTTGGAATACTGCTCTGCAGTCTGGGGCCCAAACTACAATAATGGGGTCGAGCGAATTGAATCTGTGTAACGACGTTTTCTTCGCTTCGCGCTCCGTAAGCTGCCTTGGAGATACCCATTTTGTCTTCCAAGCTACGAGAATCGCTGCCAATCAATGTCGAGCCCTTACGTATCCGAAAAGATGTTTTCAGATCCTTAACCGTTGCCGATACTCTGCAAGGAAGAATCGACTGCGAAGCAATTCTGCAACAAGTGAACATTAATGTTCAACCTCGATCACTACGCAACAGTCTTATGCTAAGACTTCCACTTCGAACTAATTCTAGCTTAGGGAGCGCTATTTACGGCTTGCAGCGAGTGTTCAACCGAGTGGCGTCGATGTTCGATTTCCACTTGACATGGAATATGCCTGATGCCCAACAGCTAAGTGTAAAATTTTAGACTTATACATTTTTAGTAACTTGACAATGCTTTCCTTGTTATTTTCGTTTGTAACTGTAGTATATGTAGTCTGTATAATCTGTACTTTTTATACAATACATCATTGGGACTCTTTCTAGTCTGTTGATGCAAACATAACAAATAAACAAATATAGATGAACATTGAAACACTTCAGAGAAATTTCCATGATTTCCTTTCTACTTATATTTTTGCGTACCATCACGCATCTTAACAACTCGAAGTGTATTAAACATTTTCAACTACTATACTGCCGTTATACGCATAAGAGTCCAACGGTGCAAAAGGATTGCATAGAACATGGGACAGTTATGTGTATAACGGCAGTATATACATTTTTTTTCCTTGATTTGTTTTCCGTCGATCTTGCTTTCCGTGCTGAGCACCAATGCTACCGACGCCAGGGAGGCAGCTCCCACACCTGGACCCTACCTATCGACCCATTAACTCATGAACCGGGGACCTTAAGGAAGGCGTGATCAGAGATGTTATGCCGTAGAACATCCCGGCGGCGCCGACTGGGATTGAACGCAGGCCTGCTGGAGTAAGAGGTAATCACGCTTACCACTACACCACCACCGGCGCCGCTGTGTATACATTAGTGGTGTGGAGAAATTATGATTAAAATTGGGCTGAAATTCAAATGGTGATAGTGATAGTGATGTTCCCACTTAACCCTATAAAGGTTTGAGCTAGACGATTTATTTTTAAGTTAATTAAGTATGACATCTTAACCAGATTAGCAAACAAAAACTAAACGGCGCCGGTGGTGTAGTGGTAAGCGTGATTACCTCTCACCCCAGCAGGCCTGGGTTCAATCCCAGTCGGCGCCGCCGGGATGTTCTGAGGCATAACATCTCTGATCACGCCTTCCTTCGGAAGGGAAGTAAAGCCGTTGGTCCCCGGTTCATGAGTTGGGTCGATAGGTAGGGTCCAGGTGTGGGAGCTGCCTTCCTGGCACGTCGGTAGCATTGGTGCTCAGCACGGAAAACAAGATCGACAGAAAAAACAAACCAAAGGAAAAAAAAAAGCAAGCAAAAACGAACTGGTTACAGTTACCGCTTTAAATTCCCTCAACACTTTTCAATTGCTTCACAGCGATATAAATGTGATAAATATTAGTCTCTATAATCTGTACTTTTTTTACAACACATCACTGAGACTATTTCTAGTCTGTTGAAATTTCCATGATTTCCTTTCTACTTATATTTTTGCGTACCATCACGCATCTTAAGGGGAAGTTTAACGGCCCGAAAAAAAAAAATATTTTTCTTTCTTAGTTTTTTGTCAAAAAATTACATGTAAAAATATTTAGTCTATCTCATCATGAAAAAAATTGGACTCTCAGCAAAACCGAAAAGTCGATATTTTGTGGTTTTTTGAGTCCAACTTTACGCCATAATGACTTATAAAAAATGGTTTTGCCCGGAATTTTCTCTGAAAAATTAGAAAAAAATGTGATTTTTTTAGATTTTTTATACCTTTTCTCAATATTTTTAGAAAAATCCTAATGTATATTTTTTTTCGGAGCGGTTAACTTCCCCTTAAGAACTCGAAATGTATTTCAACTGTCACCTAACAGAACGAATTTAGGGTAAAAATAGACCAATTAATAGAATGATGAGAGTGTATAATAATTATTGTGAGAGTATAGATCTAACTATGTCTAAAGATACAGCAAGGAGAATACTAACGGCTAGTTCTTTTTGAACCATTTTTATTTCCTATGTAGATGTTTGAATATGTAGTCTACATTGATTGACAATTTCAAATAAAACGTTTGTTTTAAAATAGCATGTAAGGTAACAGCACTATTGTAAAACGGACTACACTGATTGGCGACAAATAAATAAATAAATAAAATAAATAAAGTTAATAAAATAAATAAAATAAGTTAAATCAATAAAATAAATAAATAAATTTACATGAGCGTCAAGTTGCCATAAGGCATAGAATTAGACTACTGCATGGCTTTGACTAGCAAAGCCCTTCAATCGTTGATGTGGGTGGATTAGAATAGGTTTCGGGATGCTGAAAGATATAGATTGGTTCGTGGTTACTTGTTTGGAACTTATTCCAGTCTTAATCAAGTTGCAGCAACTTATTGTGATTGAAGTGTGCTGCTTGGGTCGTTTTTCAATTTTGTAAATCATAGAGGATGCGTAGCTGATGAGGTTTGTTGTAGTAGATCATTTTTTGACAAACCTATGCTGTTCGTCTGCGATGATGTGGTGCACACAGTGTTGAGAAAATATCAAAAAATGAAATCTCAATCTCTTCGATGATCACGCTTGATTTTCGTGGACAAATATCAACAAACAAACAACAGCGGATGATATTTATTGCTGGACTGCTCGAAACATGAAAAAAGTGTGATAAAAGTACACGTTTCCGTCAAATTGTGTTGGTGTCTTCGGAGCACTTATTGCTTACATCATATGAAGACGATAAGAAGAAAACTCGCACTTTATAATAGGTGAAAACGCATTTATTTGTCTAGTTTGGTATGAATTGTGCAATATCAAGATCTGTATCAAACACAAGTCTAGACGAACAATTAAAAAGATCCTATCTGCTTTAATCGATTCTCTTCATCGACTTTCTCTTTCGTTAATAACTCAGCTGCAAAAACATTCTCTGTTGAATTTGATGTTCTGGGATGGAATCTTCTTTATAAAAAAAAAGGTTTTGAACAAAACAAAAAATGTTTTCATCAAAGATAACTTCTAAATTTATTCACCTTTCCATACGTACCGTTGGAATTGATAAAGAGTCAAACAATGTTGAGATATTATTAAAAATCTAACACTGTTTCTTTATTCTAAATTCGTCCTACGAGTTTCAATTCCGTCCTAACGCATTGAAACGCCATTAGATTTTCTTCGTCCTACGGATGATTGTAGAAAAAGTGAATTCGCTAGGAGCGCTTCTTTTGTTTTGAGGACAATGAGTGTAAATATTCATACAATGCGCTGTACTAGGCTTCATGTGGTGGCTTATGAACCAACGGATCGGAACAAACGTATTATTGATTTGTGCACGGTGAAATCATTGATATTATTGATGATTTCTGCTCGATAGAACGGAAATTGGCGATTACGACGAAGTAGCGCTCTTCCCTATGCCGTTTTTTCCTCGATTTTTCTTTCGTCGATCTTGTTTTCCGTACTGAGTACCAATGTTACCGTCGCCAGAGACGCAGCTCCCACACTTGGACCCTACTCTAACGACCGATCAGCTCATGAAACGGGGGCCAACAGCTGTACTTCCCTTCCGAAGGAAGGCGTGATCAAAGATTTTGTGCCTCAGAAAATCCCGACGGCGCTGACTGGTATTGAACCCAGGCCTTTTGGAGTGAGAAGCAATCACGTTTTCCGCGCGGCTCGTATATTCATCGTTATCAAATGAGAAAATCAGTTAAGACTTTGTACACTGTTGTACTACCGTTGTACTAGAAACTACCAATTTTAAATTGGCTCACTACTTGACTAGCCTATTAGTCCCAAGTACATCTATAAGCGTACCCCATTCTAGTCGAAATTCTAGTACTATACTATGTTTGTTTTGATTCGCTATGAAAGTTTGACAGATAAAATGAGGGGTTCGTTGATTTTCCTTCGAACCGAAGATAGTACCAGAGCTGAACCAAAAAGTTGAGCACGTTTCTTCGGGACCTTCTGGTCTTAGAGTCACCTCTATGGTTGTACTGATTTAAGCTAGTACTACCATAGAGGTAACTCTAAGACCAGAAGGTCCCGAAGAAACGTGCTCAACTTTTTGGCTCAGCTCTGGTACTCTCTTCGGTCCCAAGCTAATCGATGCACCCTTCCAAACAGAGGAAAATCCACGAACCTCTCATTTGGTCTTTCTTTCATAGCGAATCAAAACATAGTGTAGCACTAGAATTTAGACTAGAATGGGGTACGTTAATCGTTTTCTTGGGACCAATAGTCAAATAGTGAGCCAATTTAAAATCGTTTCCATCGGTTGGTACTACTTTGTATGTCTGTCGATGGTATAAGAGAATCGATTAATGCAGATAGGAACTTTTGTAATGTTCATCGAGAATGAATGTTCCTCTCTAGTGCAAACGGGGAATAATGATGGCATAATCGATATACTTAAATCTCTACATATAATAGCCTGTAAATTACCATTACTTTATGATAAAATTGTAACCTACCTCGTTTTAAGGAAAGGCATAGTAATTCCAGCAGCAGTTGCCACCAGTAAAAGTATCACTTGAAGAACTGTCAAAACCACATTTATAAGTTTTACAACTACTGCTCTTGCATTCGAGTTATCTATTCCTTCCACAGTTACATATTGTTGCTGCGACAAATGTTCTATTTTAGAAATCTGAAAAATAGAGCGTATTTAGTTGTAAATTAGTGCCATTTGAATCGTGTTAGTTAACTTATTTAAAATATCAGGAAGTTTGGTGATAAAAGCATTAAATAATTAGTCTTGCAAGGTTAAAGGCATACAATTCTGTTAGATGTAATAGCAGCGGATGCCGATTTCCAAACAAAATGGTCAACTTTACCATGCTGTAAATTTGTTCTCTTATAATAAACTGAGCTGAAATCTTCTCCACAGAACTACAAATGTGTTCAAAATGTAAATATTTTAAACATTTTCAACTACTATACTGTCGTTATACGCATAAGAGTCCAACGTATAACGGCAGTATATACATTTGTCAATGGTGTGGAGAAATTAGGCTGAAATTCAAATGGTGATAGTGATGTTCCCACTTAAACCCATAAAGGTTTGAGCTAGACGATTTATTTTTAAGATAATTAAGTATGACATCTTAACCAGATTAGCAAACAAAAACGAACTGGTTACAGTTACAGCTTTAAATTCCCTCAACAATTTTCAGTTGCTTCACAGCGATATAAATGTGAAAAATATTAGGCGTTCTCCTCTTTGTTCACTCTTTTGTCCACCTCAAATATTCGCAGGCATTCCCAGCGACCAAGAGTTAATGAATGATCAACAAAGAATCCTATTACATTACCAACCCCGCATGATATTATCATAATTTTCAGCAATGTCAATAATGCTCACGAACCGCCGACATTCAGCCAGAAAAATTACTATTAATTCAAGGCTACCACTCACTGTAGCAAGACGACTGTCAGTAGACTGTGGGCTGTCCTCGCTGTTCAATTAGATCAAATGTAATAACCTCTAATGTTACTAAACCTGCCATTGTACGAAGAGTAAAAAACGGGATGGGTATCGTCCACGTGCACCCACGAGATAGTTGAGAATCTCCTTCAAGCAACAGGATCATGCAACCGATCAAGAAACCAGCCATCTAACAGAAGAATGCCCCAATGAGTGGGGAGAAGAGCCCGCCCTCTATTCACGAAATGTTAAAAATAAGGAGATGGCATTTCCACTCTTCCCATCTATGCTGCTTCAATTGGTGGATCGTTAATATAATAATCCAATTAAAAGTTAAAATATAAATAAAGAATGATCACACCCGATATCCAGAATCCATGACATCACGATGATTTCGAAGAGCTCCCATAGGTATGTTGCCGTTACATCCTCAACCGGTGTTAAAAACGGCACTCTCGCCTTTTCCTTCCTGGGTTTTAAGGACTAGGACAACAACTACTTAACATATTCTAGCTGCTCCGACTAAGGGATCTAGCAGAGAAAAAAAGGACTGCGACCACTTTTCATCACCATTCATCGCGACTCAACGGATTCAGTTCATCTGTACACCGTCTGGAAGGCGCAGCGCCAGTCCCCACCGGCCGAATCAACGCAGAAATCAGAAGCGACAAGTCCAGCGACCAAAAAAAGCGTCTAATATTGACCAACATAACCAACATAGATAAGCGCCTTTCGTCCGGGAGGTGGAACGCCAGCACGCAGCAAGCAAAAGGATGAAACAAAACATACACCCACAGAGCATGGCACGAGCAGAACTGCTAACGACCGGTGCCGGTGGTGTAGTGGTATGCTTGACTGCTTTTCCCTCCAATGGGTCTGGATTCAATCCCAGCCGAGGTCGGTGTGATTTTTCTGAGGTATACAAATCTCCGGTCACGTCTTCCTTCGGATGGGAAGTAAAGCCGGCCCATGTTTTTTGATGGGTATTATATCCTATGCTGGTGTGGAAGCAGCCTCCCTGCCATTGGCGTAGCTAATGAGGGTGCCTGGCTCCCTTCAGAATGATTCAGGTCCCTCCAGTTTTTTTTTTGGTTATTCAAATACCGACGATTTAAATAATATTAATCTACAAAACATTCTGGAGGGGGCCTAGATGATTGTAGAGGAGGCTTTGCCCCCTTGGCACCCCCATTAAATGCGCCCATGCTCCCTGCACATCCGATTGTCGTCAATAGATGGCAATGATTGGCACTAGCTTGAGGAACAGAGACCGACGCACGGAGTGGTATCTGGTAAATCTAGCTGACCAAAACACATTTTTTCGAAATGGGGCTAACTGTAAATGAAGTCGTGCAAGGTGAACAATACCCTGTACTTGTTTTATCTTTTACGTATCTGTTCGCTTGCTGTAGCAGTTCAAAGTTGACTTTAGAGTTGGTCGTGTGATTCGTGCAATTATTTTTTTTTCGCGCCGTTGAGGATTCTGTTCCGCTAGTCAACTCAAGTTATATTTTTGAAAACACATCTAGGATGGACTCTATTCAGGCAGGTAATTAAGAACATATTAATTTGAATCATGCATGAGTTAGGTATTAACGGTGTTGTAAATAAGTACACAGCAAAAAAAAAAAGTAATATGCCTCAACGTAATGATGCTAACGTATCAGGAAACTAGATGTAATTGTGAGAAATATGTGCAAATTAACACCAATTCCATGTAATATTATATCGCTCTTCTAGAGATGAACTAGCTTAAGGCTAAAAATCTCTTTAATAAAGCTTTAAAAAAAATATCGCTCTTAGAATTACGCAGAAACAAAATGACTATTTTTCATTCCGTCACATGTGTGTAATATTCACAAATAAATAACATAATTATTACACATAAACAGCTGCACATAGGTCATTCAACAAATAGTTGTGTAATATTACACTAATATTATGCGATATGACAGCTAATTACTACGCGATATTAAATCTCGCAAACCGCCATTGTTATTCGAGTGCTCGGTCCAGTGCCTTATTGTAAAATGTTGTCCGTTAATTGTGAACGTGCTACAAAATGGTAAGTTGAGACAAAAACCACCAATTTACGTATTTCATTGACAAAGAAATCCCTTATTACGGGGGACAACGAGTCACATTATTTGATTGGCATGGTGAATCACTTCAGGCCGATAACATAGTGAGAGGATGCTGTTCTCGGCGACGCAGACGTCTCGGACAGAGGAACTGGGTAAGCTTGCGTAAATCAGAGCCAATCTATGTCGGGGTGGACGATCTCAAGGCGGAAGCCACCGTCACTGGACTGGAGCAGGGTTTCTTAGTGTGTCCCTCGGAGAAGCGTTTGCTCATGTCGTTCATGTTCCTTAATAAGAACCACAAGAAGAAGGTTATGGTGTTCTTCTCTTCGTGTTTGTCCGTTAATACCATCACGAGCTTTTCAACTTTTTTTCTAAAATCTTTCGGCAATTTAATCTGAGCAATTTTCGATTCACAGGGTGAACAGAAACAAGCCAGTCTTCTTCCAGTTTTGCAGCCGGAATACATTCACCGAGTCGGCCGTATTGCCCGAGGCGAGAACATCTGTGGCCATCCTCTGCTGTTGCTATGTCCAGAGGAGGTGGCTCAAGTACCTTAAGCAGGCAAAGGTTCTACTTAATGAGTTTGAGTTCTCCTGGAGCAAGATCGCCGACATTTAGTTGCGGTTGAAAAATCTGCTGTCGAAGAACTACTTCCTTAACCAGTCCGGCAAGTTGTCGTTCAAAACGTACGTTAGAGCGTACGAAGGACACCACATGAAGGATGTTCTTAATGTGGCGAAATCGTTGGTTTCACGCAGCCTCCCAACGTGGACTTTGGCAAGAGCTACAATATTCAGATCTCGGATCGGCGGGCAGGAAATCGGGGGTTGGGTCACTTCAAGACCATGAACAAGGACAAGAAAGGCGAGATGAAGTTTAAGCATATTATTAATCGGCAGGAGCTGAAGAAGTGCCAGTAGGCGAAATGTTGGTTGTTAAGGAAGCTTTCTTTTTGGTAAATATACTTTCTAAGCTTTTGGTTTTCGGTAGAATGATAGAGAAATTGTCCGATGTTCCGCTTGCGTAAAGGGAGCGCTATTAATTATAAGCAGCGGAAGCTTTCTATGGCACCTGAAAACAGTCTTCGTAAGATGACAGCCTCTTCACGGCGGATATGAAACCTTAGTCTAACTACTTTTTTTCCTCGGAACATTACACTCAAAAAAGTCCACATGTCGGTTCGAAGTGTTTAAACGCTTGACTTTTCAAAAGTTATTTTAAGTGTATTTCACCTTGGTTCAAAGTGATATACACGTTGATTTCTAGTGTTTCAATCTTAGAAATGTTGATAATCTTTCACTATCAATTCAAGTGTATTGCACATTGAATCACACTACTTTTCAAAACAGAAGGATTCGAAGTGTTTTGCATTACAATGTGAATTGATTGTTCTGCTAGGTAAACATCTAAAACATGAGTTATGGCTTCATCCTTATGAACCATTTTCATATATGAGAACAACCGTGGCCCACTCGAAAAAAAAAATAATTATAATAAAACAACGAAATTTCAATAATTTTTACTGTTGAATTTCGAGTACATTAAAATTTATTGTTAAATTGTTGTACGGGAGAAAATACAAAATTCATTTTTTAACGATACAATGCTCAAACAATGAAAATTAATGTGATAAGAACAAATTTGTTCTAGAAACATCAGCTTTTATATTGCTAAAATACTTAACAACCCCTCTTATTTACTGTAAATTCATCAAATACCATGATTTTTATTGTTGTGAATTATGAATTTCGTTGTGATTTTATGGTGATCGACAAAAATGTCCAATGTTTTCACAATAAATATCATGGTTACAATGACATTGAAACTCATTGTATTTTTATTGTATTTTTTTTTTTACGGGCAGTGAGATCGAACAAATACAACGGCAGCAGCACACTTCAACAGTCCAGGATCGAATCCCAAATTAGACCCATTAAAAAAAGCATGTATAAGCCCGCTCCCTTGCAGCTTTTTGTTTATATATTTTCGATTAATTTTTAGAATAGCTAAAGTAGAATATCGTAGAACATTGAAGTGTGATGTGCCATTGATGTCTTTTGAACATTTTTCTCGTCAATTTTTCCTTTGCAAGGTCGTTGAATATTGCTCAGCGACTGAGTAACATTGTATTGCAAATTC